GCCTCTCTGTTACTTCTACCAGTTGTCGGGAGTCAACTCTGACTCATGGCGACCCCATGTGTGTCAGAGTAGAATCATGCTCCATAGGGTTTTCAATGGCTGATTTTTCAGAAGCAGGTCATCAAACCTTTCTTTCAAGGTGCCTCTGGGTGGACTTGAACCTCCAACCTTTTGGTTAGCAGCTGAGCGCATTAACCGTTTGCACCACTAAGGGACTCCTCATTGAATGGGAGTCCCCTTAAAGCTCTAATTTCCAGATTAAATATCATGGATTTCTCTGAATAACTATTATCAGAGAAGCAGCATGGAGTAGGCCATGGAACGAGATATCTAAGTCAAAATGTCATCTCTGTCACTACTCACAGTGTGATGGCAGATAAGGTACTTAACTGCTCTGTGCCTCTGTTTCTTCATCTGTAAAATGTTGTAAGAACAACAAATTTGCTGTGAGAATTGAGTGAGTTAATGAGAAGCACATCCTCATAATCTTCAGGGCAACACAGTGGACTCCACTTTGACTTCTTTTACCTGTCAGTAATCCTTTAGGCTTTACTTTCAAAATGCACTCAGAATCTGACTACTTTTCATCAATACCATCCTCCTGACCTAAGTCACTGTTATTTCTCACCTGGTTTATTGCAATACCTCCTAAGTGGTTCGCAACACAACAGTCAGAGTCTGCTATGAAAACCAGGGCTTCGAACTGGTTCAGAACTGTTCAGTAATTGCCGACATAAAGGAGGGCAGTGTATGCATTGCATAATAACCAAACTTGATGCCGTCGGATTTTGGCCCAAGTAGGAAACAAACGGCGGTGTCCCATTAAAAAATGGCGGCCTAGCTTTTTCATAAAATAGGAAGACAAAACAAAGCCATAACACTAAAAAAAAAAAAAAAAAAAAAAAATGGCGGCCTACTGTGCCGCTTTGAATGTGTGTTGCTTTCCATAGTCCTGCCAATAATCCAATCTCCCACATCAGGTTCCTGAAACTTTTGGGATCCATGCGGGGGACTGGATTATTGGCAGGACTGTGGAGAGTGACACACGTTCAAAGCAGCGCAGTTGGTTGCCATCTTTGAGCAGGGCATCCCTGTTTGTTTCCTACTTGGGTTAAAATTAGATGGGAAACAGATTTGATTGCTATGCAACATGTACACTACCCTCATTTATGTTGACAATTACTGAAACAGTTCGAAGTCCTAGTGAAACATAAGTCAGATCATGACATTTCTCTCTAAAACCCTTCCAATGGCTTTTCATTCGACCACAAGTAAAACCTACAAGGCTCTATGGGAAACACGATGGAAAACTTGGCTCTCGGTTCTCCCAGCTGATGTATTTTTCTCTATAGCACTTATATCCATCTGTATATTTCTCTTAATTATTTTATTGTCTGTCTCCTTCCATTACAAAAGTGAGTTACAGGAAGGCAGGGAGTTTTGTCTCTTTTATTCACTACTGTAGACACAGGGCCTGGCACGTAGTAGACTCAATAAATAGTTGTTGAATTGACTGAGTGAATGTGAAATACTTAGAGTAGTATCTGGGATATGGTAAGTGTTCAATATACATTAGTTTTTATTGGTGTTATTTTTCTTCACAGATCTTGGTTGCCTTTTTGAAGAACTGCTTTATCCTGTCAATGCCCTTTAAAACCACATAGTACCCCAACATCCAAACCACCTAAACTAGCACAGAGTGGATTGGGGCTGCTATTTTCAGTCTGTCTACTCCAACTCTATTCATGCTGTACCACGTTGGAGGTCCTTAGTAAACTTTTAGGCAACCAAAACATAAATACACATACACACATATATAATACATACATACATATATATTTAAAATATATATATATTTTTTGGTGGAAGGAACTGCTGCCCATTTATACTATGGGAAAGTCTTGGGATCCTAGGGATGTGGTTTTTGGATAAGTCACTTACGATCCTGTTAGTGGTGGTGGTGATAGAAAGCTACTTATACACCAGGAATCCAAAGGTAATCTTTGGTTTTGGAGGCTGCCTGGGTCATGTTTCATTATGTTGACTATGTAAAACACATCAAAATCAGAGAATGTTAATATTTATATGTCTCTAGTGTAACTTATATAGAATTTACATGCTACTTACACCTGGATTTTCTATTAAACAATAATATATTGCTATGAAAGCTAACAGATGAATAAGTAAATTTTATTCAAGATGGTAGGCCAATTTTACATATAGACATGCAGATATAAATACTGGCACACAAATGTATTTTTTCCATCTATACACACCTACATACAAATAAATAAATTGGCTATACTCTTGACTGAGACATAAATTTTAAGAATATTAGAAAAATGGAAACCCAAGGGTAGTTACTTCTTTCTGAAATTAACTGGATTGTAATATAACAGAACTAGTGACACTATGGAGCCCTGGTGGTGCAGTGGTTAAGAGCTCAGCTGCTAACCAAAATGTTAGCAGTTTGAATTCACCAGCCGCTTCTTGGAAACCCTACGGGGCAGTTGTACTCTGTCCTATAGGATTGCTATGTGTAGGAATCAACTTCAAGGCAATGGTTTCTTTCTTTCTTTATAATGACACTATAATAAAAATGTTCAAAAATTGAGTATAGCTACATTTTGGGGGACCTATTACCCTACTGCCCAGGAAACAGAACTGAGATTATACATCTTTGAAAATTTGAGTGGCATTCCTGCTATACTCCTGCTCTGGAGTTGTTGTGAGGCTCTGTTTACACACACATACACACACACACACACTCACACACACATACACACAAACATATACATGTTGTTATTAGCTGCCATCAAGTTGGCCCGACTCATGGTAACCTCATGTACAACAATGAAAGGCTGCCCAGTCCTGCACAATTCCTGCTCAGACCACTGTGATCCACAGGGTTTCCACTGGCTGATTTTCAGAAGTAGACCACCAGGCCTTTCTTCCTAGTCAGCATCATAGTAACATGCGATTCTTCACCGACAGATGAGTGGTGGCTGTACATGAGGTGCACTGGGACAGGAATTGAACACGGGCTCCTGCATGGAAGGTGAGAATTCTACCACTGAATATTCACTACCCTTATACATATATGTACATAACACGTGTTTGCGTGTATGTGTATATATATATGTACACACACCTTGCAAGTACTGAAGTACTACATAAGTTTAAAATATTATGATTTTCTTTGAATAAATCACACTGATTTATATTTTGGACAAGCTAGCAAAGTCTATAGCTAAATTAGTCCACATTCTTCATATTTTCAATAGTGTTCTAGTTATTTAAACACTATATTCAAAGTACCGACAGTAATACAAGAAAAAGAACCTCCTGTTAGCACTTCCCACTCTCTATGAAGTGAACAGAAACATGATGGAGTACTGACATTCATTTCACTTTGAATTAAACATAGCATCACCACAAGTCTCAAGAGATGATATTAAGTTTTGTGTTTGGGCAATACTGGGAATTCTATAGACAAGGGTAGGATTATGTTTGGCTGGCAAAAAGCTAGTCAAACTTCATACCTGTCCTAGAAGTAGGTGGTCAAAAACTCAACTCTTGACATCAAAGCTATCAGCCCTAGTTGCTTAAACTATCTGGATCTTGAAATCATTTGTTATTCATTTTGAAGATAAAATAAACATTAAGAAATGAGATAAAATCAGGCAAAGACCATTAGGTTTAATGAAAAAGATATTAAGTTAGAATCGACCTCTGAGGAAAACAGGCCCTATGAGGCAAACACATCAAATGAAAACGAAGAATAGAATTGGATTTTCCAAGAGGCATCATCAGATATATAATCTTTCATTTTATTTCCTCAGGATAAAGGACTCAGAAACAAAGGTAGAGGAGATGCACCGCTAGCTTCCTCTCACTTCTCCTCAAATACAGGCTGTAAATTTTCTAGGGTTCACAGTACATGTTCAAAAGAAGCCTGCACTTTTGGTGGAAGGAAGTACGCACTCCTTGAGAAGTCTGGTTTCACTGTAATAGTATATAATGCCTCTCTCTAATAAATTTAACCACAAAAAAGTTTCTTAATGTGTCTGCATTCTGCTAATTTATAAAAAGCAGGATGCTGTCAGATAAAATTTCATGAAAATGATCTATAAACCAGACTGTCAAAAGTGAAAGGTGCTCAGGCAGTACTTAGGGGCAGCAAATACACAGAGACTCCTGGAAAGTTTCTGGTGACTGCGGTGAAACAATGTACTGTAACGGAGCTCATATTACCTTGATTTGCAAGTTACTGTGAGGTCACAGGAAATCTTGAAATGTTTTCCACATTTCCTTTTATGCATTTTATGTCAAATTTCCTGCAATTGAAATCATAAACCCTCCTACTGCTGGAACGTCTTCTGAAAGAAAGGAGATCTTCTGACACTCCCCAATGCACACCTAATAACTCAATTCCTACCAATGTAACAAGAAACTGAAAGACAGGATTGAAAATGCACCATGATAAGGCTGCAGTGTCAGCTGCCCAAACTCTTTCAAAATGAAAACCAAACTGATGTCATTAAGACAACCCTAAAAGAGCATTTAATCTCGTGACAGCCGACTTTTCCTTCCAATAAGAGATAACGGAAGAAATGACAGATGGTACCAAAGATATCCACTCACCATTTCCCCCAAATCTTTTATCCAAAATGTATTTGTGGATTTATGGTCTAATTTTAAAATGGCATATTCTACACAGATATTCTTAACATGATTCAAGTTCCTTGCGACCATATTTTATTGTTCCAGCAATGTTTATGGAAGGAAAAGTCAGATTTAAGTAAAATGTTCCAGTTTAAACAGTCCCTCAAGATTTATCACTCACAACTGTGGAATTTATAAAGAGCATTTAAATGGTCAAATACTATTTTAATACAAATCAACAATAAGGAAAATCATGCCAAATGATTAAGGTTCATTAATGAATACTGACTTTTAAGGTTTTGTTGGATCATGAATTATTAGCACTGAAACATTACCTCTCCGGACATATCAGGGGCCATTGGAACAGCAGGCCACAGAGATGAATAGATTCCAAAAAACACCACCCAGAGTGCAATGCTGCCCCATATTGCAATGTGGCTGAACTGTGAAGGAAGGAAATTTGTATCAAAGCACTTTTAGGTAGATCGAGTACACAAACACAAATGAAGCTTTTACAAATTTCCTTGTTAATTTTTTTATTATACCCATAAGCAATATTACCTATAGGAATAGTTAAATAATTTCTTTTTAACGGAATCTTTTATTAAGTGCTAATCTCTTCCATGGAGTCCTGGGTGGCACAAATGGTTAAGCACTTGGCTACTAACTGAAATGTTGGCAGTTTGAACCCACCCAGAGGCACCTTGGAAGAAAGTCCTGGCAATGTTTCTTAAAGGTCACAGCCAGGAAGCCCCTCTGCAACAGGTGGGGTCACCATGAGTCAGAATCAACTTGATGGCAACTGGCTTGTTTTTTCAATCTCTTCCGTAACTGTTATGATGTTGTGATACTGGAATTTAGAACTAACTGTTCCTTCTCTATGTCCTTTGGTAGTTCTCTCCTCTTATTATCTTTTTATATCCCCTCCCATCTTCAAGCCTCCTTTATTTTTGCTCTGCATACTCTTGCTGAAAGATGTTAGACACTTGGAAGAACATCATTTGTATCCTGATGCCTGTCAAATCCTAATTTCTTGTGCCAATCTTTCCCCTGAGCATCAAACTTTAATTTCCTTTGTTTACTGGGTCTCTCTACCTGGATGTGCTGAATATACTTCAAAACTAACATATCTAAAATGGAACTTCCTTTATCCAGAATGAGTGTTTACAAAAGTCTGAAGACAAACCTTTCACTAATATTTTTTGGTCTTTAGAATCATTTTCCAGTAGGTTTTCTGCAGAATACCAGTCCTGTAACATGTTCTACTAAGAAAAGATTCCCAGTCAAATAAGTTTGAAAGCCTCTCTCCTTCCTAGGTTATTCTCAATATCTAATAACAAAGGTTCTGAGAAGCTGAGTGGTAAATAAACTTATTTAAACAAACAAACAGTTGCCATTGACTTGATTCAGACCTATGGTGACCCAATATGTATCAAAATAGAACTGTGCTCCATACAGTTCTTAATGGTTGATTTTTTGGAAGTAGATTGCCAGGACTTTCTTTTGCGATGCCTCTGAGCAGACTTGAACTGTCAACCTTTTGGTTACTGCTCAACCATTTGTGGCCCCAGGGACTCCAAATAAACAATAAAATTTGTTTAATTTGGTGTTTCCAAACTAGAATCCCCAGTTCTCCCCCCTCCACTCCCTGCTCCCCAATAATCAACAACCCATGGAACTAGGATAATGGGACGCATGAAGTTAGAATGAGAAAAAAAAAAAAGAAATAACACATAATATAAATGTGACATTTCTTGGTTATGATTAGAGGTACTCTTACCCATGTCCAATATGATGTTTCTAAGCCAGCTTTCAAACACACAGTTATCACCACAAACTAAAACAGAAGGAAAAATGTTATTTTATTTCATAAGTATGATAGTTCATCAAACAAATGAAAGTGAGATTTGTAAAGAAGTGGTATCTTTGAATCAGACCATGGGGCTAGTTCATTATTTGTAGCTTGCTTTGTACATCCAACAAGCAAACAAACAAGTGAATTATCTGGGTGGCTGAACATTATGACCATGATGAGTCAGAACTGCTAGCATCACACTCCTATTGCTCTTCCCTGCTTCTCCTCACCTTTACAGCCTTATACTCCGTCCATGAGGCTCCTGAGTGTGTGTCTCCCTGCTTTTGGAACTACTCAGGAATAGTGGTGAAGAGTATACGTTTACATTAACAAGGGTTTTCAAGCTTGCTTTAACTTTATTTTATGTCACCTTTAATACTTAAAGTCCAACTTACTAACTTTTAAAGAAAATTTTAAAAGTAAAATAGCTAGATATTAAAAAATCTAAACACTTACTCTGCAACTTTACTTACTTAAAACCCTGCAAAGTAGGATATAATAGTCTGCTCCTCCCTCAATGATGTACACACCCATTGACGATGACTACACCACCAATTTTGGAACAAGGGAACCAGGGTTTAATTAACCTGTTTTCTGTAGTATAGCGTAATTATTAAATGCACACATCCTGGAGTCAGAATATCTATGCTCAATACACCATCACTTATTAGATGTTTTGGTTAATTAACAAGGCCAGTTACTTCACCTCTCTGTCTCCTTCACCTGTAAACTGGGACTAATAAACGCATACCTACTTCAGGGTTGTCTTTTGAGTGTAAAACATTAAATGTGAAACATTCAGAACGGTGGTCGGCACTGAAGTATTACCTATTATTACCATTTATATTATTATGTACTTATCATTAATAATAAAATTTAAAATACTGTTGCTAGTCAAGTGAACTCTGAGCTCTTTCTGTTATCTGTGGTGAGAAGCTTGAGATGCTTGTCTAGCACTGGGGATCAACAAATGCTTGAAGTGCCTCATCAGACCTTCAGGCACTTTAAAGGTTTGCACCTAGTATCTGTGTTTGCATTATGACCCAGTGGAATTGTAAAGTTCAGTTAAAGTAAGACAGCTGGGCTTTCTCAGCAGGATACAAATGGCAATTTAGGATTAATACCTGTGGAAATAAAACTCTTATTAAAGTGTAACTATTAATTAAATTAAGGCACATAAAAAGTTCTAAAATAAGAGAGAGAGTTTAAAATAAATTAAAGAAAAATACCCTTCTGGAATCTAAGGTACTGTAAAGTATCCACAGGAGAAGTCCATGATGTATTTTGTTGTTGGGTGCCATTGAGTTGATTTTGACTTATAGCGACCCCATGTGACAGAACAGAACCGCCCCACAGGGTTTTTTTTTGGTTATAATCTTTACAGGAGCAGATCACCAGGCCTTTCTCCCAAGGAGCAGCTGGGTGGGTTAGAGCCATCCTTTCAGTTAGCAGCCGAGTGCTTAACCATTTGTACCACATTCATTATGTACACTCTAAGTAATTTCTTTCTTTCTTTTTTATTGTGCAGTAGGTGAAAGTTTACAGAGCAAATTATATTCCCATTTGATTGTTTGTACATAAGGTATTTCATGGCCTTGGCTTCACTCTCCACAATGCATCAGCACTCTCCCCATTTCTGCCCTGGGCTCCCTGTTTCCTTTCATCCTGATTTTTCACTCCTTTCTGCCTTCTCATCTTTGCTTTTGGGCAAATATTGCCCTTTTGATCTTGTATAATTGTTCTGAGGAGGAGGTTCCTCTCGGATGTTATTTATTTTATGGGCCTGTCTATTGTTTGGGTAGAAGGCGGTCTCCAGGAATGGCTTCAGTTCCAGGTCAGAAAGGTATCTTAGGGCCATAATCTCGGGGGTTCCTCCAGTCTCTGTCAGACCAGAAAGTCTAGTCGTTTTTGAGAATTTGACTTTTCTACATTTTTCTCCTGCTCTGTCTGGGACCCTCTGTTGTGATCCCAGTCAGAGCAGTTGTCTGATTAATTTCTAACTTACTCCATAAAGTATTTATATATTTCTGTTTTTGCAATCATGTTGTATAAGGTCAAACCACCAGCCTCCAAACATACTTTCACTTTTCTCTTAACTACTTCAGTGGGTTAATGTCAACAGAAAGGAGACACCAGATATGCCAAAACTTTGAATTCCTCTGTTACCTACAGACCTTAACTTCCTGTCATTCAGTTATTTACACACTTGATAGTTAAACACCATATAATAGTTTCGATCAACTGAGTCAGCCATACCAATAGGATAGCTCTTTTGTATTTAGAACAGTATGCTGCCTTCCCATACAGAGGAAGCTTTGTCAAGAGTGGGCCACAGGAGTACAGAGGAAGAGCATTGGACGGGGAATTCAGAGTTGAAGGTTGGAGTAAACTTTTATCGGATACTAATTATGTGACCTCGGGCATTAGCATTCAAGTAATGCTTTTAACTTTTAAGGGGGAAACGGTTTTAAAACATTTTTCAGCTCTTTAATGACAGAGATGGACTCACACATCTGAGTATCCTCCACAGGTGCACAGTGTATTGACTTACAGAGTGGCTTCCGTGCCTTACACAGGTTAAGGGTCCCAAAGCCTGGAGATTTCTCTCCCATTTTAATTATCATGAGACTCCAGAATAATTACTGGTTACAGGTCCAAGAATAGCTTGATAACATTGGCTATAAATTTTGGAAAGCAAGAAAGCATTAACAATGGGGGTAACAAAATTGAGAACAAAGGAACAAGGAAGAAAAAGAAAGCCAAAATGCGGCAATAAGAGTAAAGAGGGAATACTGAAAACAAGAGCAACCAAGGTCCTATGATGTCAGCGAATCTAAATGATATTGTAAAACCTAATCTAAAATAATCTTTGAAAGTCAAAATATCGTTTCATCTTTAAAGGAAAGCATAAACAATCCTTAAATCCAAAAACGTACACATTTAAATTGGAAGGGGTGGCGGGGGGGCGGGGAAGAACACATATGAAAAGATACCGTTTTACATGCAAAGGAGGCAAATGTCCTCACTCACAGTGTAAACAAAGTTTCCCAGCAGCAGATAATCAGAGGTTTTCCCATTTCCAAATGCAGTACCTGCATGAAAAGAAGAGAGGCTCGTTAGAGAAGAAAATTAACGTGGTCCTCTTAGAATCCTTTCAAAGATAAATGAATTTAGGAAGTATTGAAAAAAAGAAGGAAAACCAAGAGATACACAATGGAGCCAGAAATGAGGCTACCTTAAAAAACACTTCACAAAGTCTGACACAGTTGCTTTAAAGATGGGCCACTAATCAAAACTTTAAAACTAAATTTCTAACAGCCAACATGAAGAAAGTTGACTTGATAACCAATTCTCAGGGTCTACAAAAAAAAAACATCAGACTAACTGCTCCATCAAAGCCCACTACTTTGGGCATTAAGACAGGAGAAAGCAACTCGAACCCTAATAAGGAACTTTGTTAACAATATGAATGAGAATCTTAGGGAGCCGACTTACTATCTCTCAATAAAGTTGTTGGCACTGGACCAAAAAGGATTCATAAAAGCTACTCACAGAGGGCCAATGAACACCAGTGATTCCAGGTATATCCCTTTCAGGGTCTGTCTGAATTCAGGGGTATATTTTAAAGCCTTTTGTTACCCCAGCAATGACTAAAAAACATGGCTCTGGATGAAGGCAGGAGTCCTTGGGTGGTGAAAACTGTTAAAGTGCTCCGCTACTAGTCAAAAGTTTGGAGGTTTAAAAACGAGACTAATGGGGCACAACTGTCCAGGGACAAGGACTAGAAGGCAGGAGGGGACAGGAAAGCTGGTAATAGGGAACCCAAGGTCAAGGAGGGAGAGTGCTGACATGTTGTGGAGTTGTTAACCATTGTCATAAAGCAATATGTGTACTAACTGTTTAATGAGAAACTATTTGTTCTGTAAACCTTCATCTAAAGTACAATTAAAAAAAAAAAAGAAAAAGAAAAAGAAAAAGTTTGGAGGTTTAAGTTCACCCAGAGGTGCCTGGAAAGAAAGGCCTGGTGATCTATTTCCAAAAAATTCGCCACTGAAAACCCTATGGAGCATAGCTCTACATGGGGTTGTCATGAGCTGGAAATGACTTCATGGCAACTGGTACTGGTAGATAAAGGGAGTAGTGGTTAACAAACAAAAACTTATAATTATTAATAAAAAATCAAATAAAAATATAAAAATAAATGAATAATTAAATCACTGGTATGGATGAAAAAGTAAAAACCCATGGTATGGTATAATACAATATTTTATTTATGCACATATTTCACAGTATTATTCAAAGCCTAATTTATTAGGACAAAGTGTATGAGAATAAAGTGTGGATGAGACAGGGAGAGTGGTGTTGGTATAAAGAGAAAAAACAGATAAGCTCTGGAGACAGAGCAGTCTTGGTTCTGTGACTAGTTGAGTCATACTGGGTTATTTATAATAGATCCCCATGGATTTCATTCTCTTCACATAAAGATGGAGTAAAGCTACTTACCTCTGAAGGGTTTAGAGTTAAAATGAGGTTGTATATATAAAGTACTAAGTGCAGTGCCTAGCATGTAGAAAATGCTCCATAAATGCCATCCCCCGTCAAGTCTTTGGTTCAAGTAGCCAGGAAGGGCAGCCTAAGAGTCAGGCCATGGTGTAGCCCACAAAACTAGGAGACTACCTTTCTCTTTGGGGTATTCCATTATTAAGGATATGGAATCTGATGCTACATCCTTTAGGTATATTTTGTACAAACTTATAAATGCCTGTAATTAATCCAACAAAGCTGGAAATCCACAAAATAATGGAAAATATCTTACGATTACTTCCTGCCTTGCATGCTTCTGCTTTGTGGCATACTGGTTAGGGGCCTTGGCTGATTTAAGCAAGTTATCAAAAATAATCACATTTGGGTCCAACCAAGTCTTGTAGTTACCATTGGTTAGAGTCATAGGAAGCTGGAGATTCCTGTCAAGATCACATGGAAGGAAAAAAAATAAAAGCCTGCTGCTGGGGTAGGCAGGTTTAGCATTTGGTTGATTGAGGTAAATCAGTAGTTTTCATACTTTTTGGTCTCTGGACTTCTTTGCATTCTTAAAAATTATTAAGGAAAACAAAAAGCTTTTGTTTATGTGGTTTATATGTAACAATATCAAATTAGAAACTAAAACAAAAAATTAAAAAATATTCATTGAGTCATCTAAAAAAATAACAGCAATAAACTCTACATGATAATATAAACAACTTTTATGAAAAATAACTTTTCTAAAATGAAAAAATTTAGTGAGAAAAATCAGCATTGCTATATATTTTTACATTCTCTTTAATGTCTGGCTTAATAGAAGACAGGTTCTCATAGGTTGTTTTGGTTGAAATTTATGAAATAGATCCAGCTCCACAGAGATATGGAGTTATAAAGGGGAGGGATATTGTAATAATCTTTTCCAAATGTGGATATTCTTTGATATTGTTGTTGTTGTTAGGTGCTGTCGAGTCAGTTCCAGTCATACCAACTCTATGCACAATGGAAAGAAACACTGCCTGGTCCTGTGCCATTCTAATAGTCATTGTTATGTTTGAGCCCATTGTTGGAGCCACTCTGTCAGTCCATTTCATAGAGAGTCTTCCTCTTTTTTGCTGACCCTTATCAAGCATGATTCCCCTTCTCCAGGGACTGGTCCCTCCTGATAACATGTCTGACGTACGTGAGATGAAGTCTCACCATCCTCGCTTCCATGGAGCTCTCTGCCTGTGTTTCTTTCAAGACAGACTTGTTTGTTCTTCTAGCAGTCCATGGTATATTCAATATTCTTCAACAACACTATGGTTCAAAGGCATCAATTCTTCTTCAGTCTTCCTTACTCATTGTCCAGCTTTCACATGCATATTAGGTGATTGAAAATACCATGGCCTGAGCCAGGCACACCTTAGTCCTCAAAGTGACATCTTTGCTTTTCAACACTTGAAAGAGGTATTTTGCAGCAGATTTGCCCAATGCAATACATCGTTTGATTTCCTGACTGCTGCTTCCATGGGTGTTGATTATAGATCCAAGTAAAATGAAATCCTTGACAACTTCAATATTTTCTTGTTTATCATGATATTGTTTACTGGTCCAGTTGTTAGGATTTTTGTTTTCTTTATGTTGACGTGTAATCCATACTGAAGGCTGTAGTCTTTGCACTTCACCAGTAAGTGCTTCAAGTCCTTTTTGCTTACAGCAAGTAAGGTTGTGCCATGTGCATATCACAGGTTGTTTATGAGTCTTCCTCCAATCCTGATGCCACATTCCTCATATAATCCAGCTTCTTGGATTATTTGCTCAGCATACAGACAAATAAGTATGGTGAAAGGATACAACCTTGACACACACCTTTCCTGACTTTAACCACACGGTTTCCCTTTATTCTGTTCAAATGACTGCCTCTTGTTCTATGTACAGGTTCTGCATGAGCACAATTATGTGTTCTGGAATTCCCATTTTCACAATGTTATCCATAATTTGTTATGATCCACACAATCAAATGCCTCTGTATAGTCAATAGAACACAGGTAAACATCTTTCTGGTATTCTCCGCTTTCAGCCAAGATCCATCTGACATCAGCAATGAATATACCTCCTTCCACGTCCTCTTCTGAATTCGGCTTGAATTTCCAGCAGTTCCCTGTTGACATACTGCTGCAACTGTTTTTGAATTATCTACATCAAAACTTGACAAGTAGCAATTTTTTTTAAGGTTAGTTGCAGTGTAGAACGTGAAATTACATCAATAAACTTTTTGTACTCTATTACATTAAAATTCATTGGTCGGCCTTGAACTTTGAATGGATCTTTTACCCATGGTCATTTGAAAAGTATTAGTTCACCGAGTTATGCTGATCTTCCATATGTTGACACATTTCATTATACAATATAAAAATATCACATTAATATCATCCGCAATCTTCTGAGCGAAGTGTTTCAGTAGCGGGAAGTTGTGAAAATCACGGTGGTGGATACAAGTTTTCCAAAATCCAGGTTTTTAAAAAAAAATTTTTTTATTGTACTTTAGATGAAGGTTTACAGAACAGTTTCTCACTACACAGTCAGTACACATATTGTTTTATGACATTGGTTAACAATCCCACGACATGTCAACACTATCCGTTCTCAACTTTGGGTTCCCTATCACCAGCTTTCCTGTCCCCTCCTGCCTTCTAGTCCCTGGACTGCTGTGCCTCCTTAGTCCCATTTTGTTTTATGGGGCTGTCCAATCCCCGGCTGAACGGTGAACCTCGGAAGGGTGTCCGGGGGCCATACTCTTGGGGTTTTTCCCAGTCTGTCAGGCCAGAAAATCTGGTCTTTTCTTGTGAGTTAGAATTTTGTTCTACATCCTTTTCCAGCTCCGTCCAGGACCCTCTCTTGTGATCCCAGTCAGAGCAGTCAGTGGTGGTAGCCGTGCACCATCTAGCTGTACTGGACTCAGTCTGGTGGAGGCCTTGGTAGCTGTGGTCCATTAGTCCTTTGGACTAATCTTTCCCTTGTATCCTGTTCTCTTCATTCTCCCTTGCTCCTGAAGGGGCGAGACGAGTGGAGTATCTTAGATGGCTGCTCACAGGCTTTTAAGACCCCAGACACTACTCACCAAGGTAGAATGTAGAACACTGTCTTTATAAACTGTGTTATTCCAATTGAGCTAGATGATCCCTGAGACCATGGTCCCCACAGCCCTCTGCCCAGCAATTCAGGCCCTCAGGGAGTTTGGATGTGTCTATGGAGCTTTCATGACCCTTCCTTGTAGAAGTTGTGCTGGCTTCCCCAGTATTGTGTACTATCTTACCCTTCACCAAAGTTACCACTTATCTATTGTCTATTTAGTTCCTCCCCACCCCTTCCATCCCTTGTAACCAAAAAAATTGTTTCTTTTTGTCTGTAATCTTTTTCATGAGTTTTTACAGATGAGGTCTCATACAATATTTGTCCTTTTGTGATTGACTTATTTCACTCAGCATAATGTCCTCCAGTTTCATCCATGTTATGAGATGCTTCACAGATTCATCATTGTTCTTTATCATTACATAATACTCCATTGTGTGTATGTACCATAGTTTGTTTATCCATTCATCTGTTGATGGGCATCTAGGTTGTTTCCATCTTTTTGCTACTGTGAACAGTGTTGCAATGAACATGGGTGTGCATGTGTCTATTCTTGTGACAGCTCTTATTTCTCTAGGATATAGTCCTAGGAGTGGGATTGCTGGATTGTATGGTATTTCTATTTCTAGCTTTCTACCGAAGCACCGTATCATTTTCCAAAATGGTTGTATCATTATGCATTCCCACCAGTAGTGCATATGAGTTCCAATCTCTCCGCAACCCCTCCAACATTTGTTATTTCCAGTGTTTTTGATTTGTACCAGTAATACCAGCATGAGATGGTATCTCATTATGGTTTTAATTTGTACAAAATCCAAGTTTCTGCTTGAAAGTTGGAATTTTATTATTGGTAACAAATACTGTAAGCTGTTTTCCTTGAAGTGACAGGCTCACTTTATTCATTTTTGAGAAAATGTCTGCCAAATTCCCAAGTGTGAATACTCAAGTTTGTTTGTCATTCTTTTCAGTGAAAATGGTTCTCTGTGAAAAAAGCAGCTGGTTCAGCTCACAACTCAAATAATCTAGAAGGTGCTGCTCCATCATACTTCCGTATGTAGCAGAGGTGCTTTACATGTACTTCCTACTTTGTCACACACCATATTAATAATATGTGTCCCTGGGTGGTGCAAATAGTTAAGCGCTTGTTTACTAACTAAAAAGTTGGAGGTTTAAGTCTACCCAGAGGCTCCTCAGAAGAAAGGCCTGGTGATCTGCTTCTGAAAGGTCACAGCCATGAAAACCCTACGGAGCTCAGTTCAACTCTGAAATATGTGGAATTGCCATGAGCCAGAGTCAACTTGACGACAACATGTTTGGTACCAAGGTTCAAGATTTAATAAGGGTATGACTTTTTACTGCTTCATCAAAGATATTCTTAAGTGAAACTAGCTTTTTTTTTTTAATGTGAGTGCACGGTGGTAAAGAATAGTGTTGACTACTACAGCAGTGCCACTGTTTGTGCTAGACACTAACAGATTTATCTATCGCTGCTTTTGTATCATCAGTGAAAAAGACAAATGACATCTTGGTAATATAAAAAAATTTGAAGTGATAAAATTTTGACCTCATAGAGTCCCTAAAACCTTGGGTATTCCTAGGGGGTTTGTGGATCACACCTTGAGAACTGCTGAGGCAAGTGAATAAATGAATATTTAGCTTTACATTATATAACATCTCTATAGTTTTCTGTACCCTCATCCTTCCAAAAGCTATTAAAACCCAAACCCTTATTTAAGAATGAAAAATAAGGGTAAACAAACAACTGCAAAACCTTCAACACCAGAAGGGTAAAAGAAACTTTATTTTAAGTGGTATTCATCCCTTAAGAACAGAAAGCAAGTGTTCTTTGGACTTGACCTGATTTGGTCTCACAGGCAGTTTCCTTTGTGAAGTGCCTCTGCTGAAGCTGGATGAGCAGACAAATGCAAAGGGAGGCCTAGGATCTGCTCTCCAGAAGCTGAAGTTACTTGGAATTCCTTTAAAACCCCATCACTGCTAAGGTATTTTAGATGCTGTTTGGCTTGAGCTACTTTGGATATTAGATTTCTTTTTCCTAATTTAGAATGTTGAAATAGCAGTTTAATACATGGACATGCCTCATCTTTCATATCTACATTGATTTTGCATCTTGAAAATAAACTTTTCCTAGAGAACTTCTCTAAGGCCACAGTATGCTGGATTTCAATATCCCATTTCTCTACAAAGTGGAAACAATTTGAATGTCTATTTGCTGATGCATGGATGAATAAAATATGGTATATCCATCAAACAGAACATTATTCAGCCATAAAAAGGAATAAAGTACTGATTCACGCTACAAAATGGATAAACCTTGAAAACACTATGCTAAGTGAAAAAAACTGGGCAGAAAAGGTCACACAGTTGCATGGTTCAATGGTATGAAATATCCAGAACAGGCTAAATCCTAGAGACAGAAAGATTAGTGGTTGCCAGGAATGGGAAGTGATGGCTAATGGGTACAGGGTTGCTTTTTGGGGTAATGAAAATGTTCTGGAATTAGTGGTGGTGGTTGTACAATTCTGTGAAAATACTAAAACCACTGAATTATATACTTTAAAAGGGTGAACTTTATGGTATGTGAATTGTATCTCAAAAAAAAAAAAAAAAACATTTTGCTGCTCTTCGCCTGGCTTACTGGCTCAGTACTCTATATCTGAATTAGATTTCATTATCACAGTCATTTCTATGGCCTAGAAGTTGAGCGGCATTTACTGTTGTACTGGTGGAGCAATTAATAAAGACATGAGATTAAAGTCTCCGTCTAGGACATGAAACCATTGCCTTCTCTATAACACTCACTTACCTCATTCAATCGGCATATTCTCGTTAATTCACTGACAATTTACTGAGTGCCTACAATGAGCTAGGAACTGTTCTAAGCCCTGCAAATACAACAGTGAACTAAACTGTCATTTGCCTGCCCTCCTGGAGCTTCGATTCCAGCAGAGGAGAAAGACAGTAGAAAATAAACAAATATATCATACCCCTGGTTAGGCAAAAACCATGAAGAAAATAGAGGAGGATGAGGGGATAGAGTGAGGGGAGCAGTGGGGGCAGACAGGTGATCTGGAAAGGCCTTCCTGAGCAGAGATGAGAGGGGAGTGAGGGAAAGAGAATCCAATGTACAGGAGAGAAGCACGCGGGGCAGCGAAGAGGCCAGCAACAGAGCACTGTAAGGGGGAAAAGCAGAAGACAATCAGGTCTAGGAGTGAGCCAGGGTCAGGGCTGTGGATTTTGCTGTAAATGCGATAGAAGTCTTTGTGGGTTTGTGAGGAGGGAGGCAGCTGGTCTCATTTACGTTTTACAAGGATCCCTCCGGCTGCCTGTGGAAAACAGACCGTAGGTAGGCAAGAGCCCACAACATTTTCTTCAGCTGGCAATCATGAACTCAGAGACAGTGAGGTGTGGCGTGTACTTACAAAGGGCTGACACATTCCTGGGCGGAGTGTGTGCTGTATTTTAAATTGTTGTCATTTTGGAGTAGAGGCACTGAATGGTTGCCTGTCTTCCCCATGATCTCTAGGCAAGGTCTGTCATGGGACACAGCAGCACTTGCTTAAACATCACAGGGATCTCCTTTCCGAAGTGGCTACTTAATCATTTTTATGTATATAGGAAATACAACATGATCCTGTCTCTCAAAACTGACAGAATAAAATCACTCCCTCAAAATGAGGAGAGAAAGTGCTTACACTCCAAGATGAATATAAAAGCATTAAAATCCCACTCGAACCTCAGCTCAAGTATACTTGAAAATACTAGCATGTCTGATTAGGATACAAAGGACTTGATACAAATCTCAGACGTATAATAAATAGACTACATAAAATATTAGCATTTATTGTCTTCAAACATACATCAACAGAGGCGAAAAGAGCCCTAAAAGCAATTCTCTGCAAATTTGGAAAACATGAGAAGTAAAGAAGAAAAGCTTTGCATATATTAAATCACTCTGCTCCCAAAGGAATAATAAAAATCTTTAAAGGGTGTACAACTTTGAGATGTATGCATTTTTAAGAAAAATACCATAAAACAAAGAAGCACTGCTATATTTTTTAACATTTATTGACAATGAGTTATTTTTCTAAAAAAGTAAAAAGTCATTTCTTAGCATTCATATCCTTTCTACTTACCATACTGAAGGGCTTTTAGTGGAAACCAAAACAGAATAACTGAGTGGAAGAGGCCATTTAAACAATGAACCCAGAAAACCTGAGGGAAAACAAAAATCCATGAGAACCATTGGCGATAAACTAGCTCTGTGAACTCTGACCTTTCTTTTTATCTGTGAGCTAGATTCACAAAATGTGTTTCTGTCGGGCCACCACTGTGAATTAATAGAACTGACAGATACTTTCTGCCTCTTAGACCTTCATGGGTCATTTATTTATTTTTATGTTTCTCAAAATGTTTTTTCAGCTTCACTATAATTTTTTTCTAGTTTTTAAAAGTCAAGCATCAAAAGTTTAAAATTTTGCCTGAAAAAGAAGAGAAAATTTAAAATAGATGTAGATCATTAAATTCCTTAAGTAGGGCTATTTTCATAATTCTAGAAGACTTGACTTTGAGAAGACTGTAAATTGGGGAAACCGCTACTTTCTCTTTCCCATGTGCAATAAAAGCATAAACTTTTCAATGTTAAGAATAGAATGCATTACCTCTTCTCTCTCTCTATATATATATGTATACATATACACACATATTATATAATAAAATATCAAGTATTCATTTAAATTGTATAATTCCTTCAAAGCACTATAACTTTGACTATATTTATAAAAGGCTTTCACAAATTTTTAGCACCTGTCAATACCAAGTTTCACATAATTATAACATCATTTAGCAGTTATTTCTTTCTCATATCAATGGTATTTTAAGAACAAGAGAGCAAGTGTCTGGTACTTTCTTTGAAACGTGGATCTGAAAGATTAAGTTGTAGAAAACCTATTTAAAATTCTATGTCCCTCCGAAACAGTTGTAGTTTTGCCATTTAAAAGTGCTTCCTGCAAACAAAACTTATGCTAAATAAAATTGGCATGTATTAATAGTT